ATGTCAATTACATAAGTTTTGGAGCGTAAAGTTCGGTTGGGTGAGTGAACATATAGTATAGTGTGTATATGAAACCTGGTAAGAAGAACAAGAGTGTCAAAACCAATGAAATCCAGAATCGAGTTTTACATTGTTCCATCAAGTACATAGAAACTGGAGGCAAGAAGAAAGCCATAAGTACAATACAAATGCATGTCCCAGTTGTTTTCATCCAATCCAATTACTTCATTTTTTAGTTTACTATTTATATATAGTAAGTGACGTCTACATAAATTCCTTTACCAATTTACTGTGGTATATAGTTTGTTTTAATATTAATTTTGAAAAAAATAAATTTATATAATTATGTTATTTTTATTATATTATTATAGTAATTAATAAATTAATTCTGATATTTTATTAAATTGAATTTTAAACAATAATTTCAAATAAGAAAAAGTTGTGGTACAATTGAGAAAAGTTCAAAAACGATATTTTTAAAAATAATATTTTTTATTTATTTATAATTAATTATAAAATATAGTTCTTAATTAATATATACCTTTAGGTATTTAAAAATATTGTAGTCTTTTCAATCTTTAAGAAATTTTTAAAAACTTTTCTTTAAGAATTTTTTTTAACAAAACAAAAGTGTTCGTTTAGTAAGTAAAAAATCTTTCACATATGCCATGTCATGTGATAACTCAATTCCCTAAATTATTAACTTTAAACTGACAAATCAAGCCAAAAGAAACTCAATTTAACTTCTGCTGTATTTTTTTGTGGCAATAGACCAATAAATCGAAGTAAGAAACACCCATGAAAGTCTTGTCTTCGACCATATACTTCGGCAAATCAATCAGTCTAAATGGAACAACATCAACAAGAACCATAGGTACAAACGACATCCCCGATATCCAATAGATCAGTTTAGTCATTAAGTTGTTGTTGTCAGCGAGTGCATTCGAGTATAACATTGTGGTCAACTATGCATCAATTTTATTCTATTAAAGAAACTATATAATACTATACTTATACATTACCATATTTATACTATAAAGTAACTATAAATAAAGTGAAACAAACTTGTGTGTTCTGCTCCATCTTAACCCCTTCACCAAAGAGTTTTGCCTTGATCTCCTCACTCACACTATATCCAACAAATAGTTTGAATACTCCATTCGACTCGAACAAATAGACTTCGTCTTCTTTGAAGTTGTTAATGGCAAGTCTGACTTTGTGAGAATCATCAGAAAACGCGTCTTCAGAAACATTTCCATTCAAGTGCCCAGTCACATTATAACACGTTGGGTAATATTCTTTGAGTAATGTTTTTGTATTCTTCCCACTCGCTTGATAGATCGACGCAAATTTTAAGTCACTTGCAGCACCATCAAATGCGAAGTCTCGAGCGATCGAATTCATTTGACCAAACGCCATGAATGCCGGTGTTTTCATTGCTCCCAACACAAAAATGGGTAACAGTTTTAATGCTTCGGGTAACAACAAAATCGAAGATTTGGCATGCACCGAGCAATACTTTCTATATGCAGCTAAGATGTTTGTGACCTTCTCAAGGACTTCCAAATTCAAACTTTCGTTATTTCTGAAATTGCCGCCTTTGATTGTCTGTCGTAATATCGTCGTGAAGATGACGTCCAAATCCGCTTTCTTGAATATGTCATTTGCCTCGCTCACTGTCGAGTAAAACCCATTAAAAATTTTCATCCTCTTTTTGCCCATAATGTCGGTGTACAACACAACAGCCTGTAAGAAGAACCCAACAAACTTATTGATCTCTTCATCATAGTCCATGATCCCTATAACACTCTGATCACTCTTCATATATCCAATACGAACAGTATCTACCATTTCAGTACTTGGAAGTAAATTGCCCAAATACTCTTCGATGAAAACTCCAGTTGATGTCCTCAGACGCACTTCAACATCAAATCCACAATCACTATCAAAGCAGTTCATCATATCTTTTTGCAACTTCAGTGATTCCATTCCTTGGAATTTGGGATAGTAATACAACTCACCACCCGTGTAACGACTGATCTCTCCTATCGTCACAATGTCACTGTATTTTTCACTCATCACAAACATATCACAGCAGATGCTCTTCCCACTCATCTTTTTGGCTAAAGAGTTCAAATACAAATTCGCTTGGGTTTGCGGATTTGCGGCAACATCACTCT